ACATCGAACTCTTGATTTTCCTCGTAGAATGTAAATCACAACAAAAAAACCAGAGAATCTGAAAATTAAGTAGTCTGATAATGATTTGGTTTGCAATGGAGGATGATCAATTGAAATGGTTTGCAAGTTGCAACCATAGCTGTTAAAGTGCTTAAAATACCATTGGGCTCAATCATACCTTAAAAATACCTGGGCCGTTTCTAATCGGATCGGAAGAAGGTTTACAACCCACAAACAAACAGAAGAAACCGAAGAAAATCATATAATTACAGAGATATGGCCATTTGGTTGAATGCAATACAAATACAATTGTCGAGGACCCTAAAAACCATTGAATAGGCCCACAAATTTCATATTACAGTAGCGGCAATTCCTCACTAAGACGGCCCAATTCGTGGAACCAACTCGCATGATTTCATTGTATGATTGATTATGTAAAGATGATCCAAGTTATATTGTATTCTTTTTTTTTTTTTTTGGTAAACAAGTTATATTGTATTCTTAGTTCGTTATGCTTATCATTAGCAACTTCAGTGTTTTCGTTTATATGTCTAGTTAACTAACGAGTCGTTTTATGTTAGGAACTCGAATATTCAACCATGTAGCAGTGCATGTGTTCAGACTCCGAAATCGAGTTCAGCTTTTTTATACTCTCACATTAGTCCATATATACAAACTAAAATCATTTTTTGTTGATTCAAATCTACATTTTACAGAGGCAAATCTCAATAGATCATGATATATACAGGGCCGTCCCTGAGATAAATGAGGCCACAAGCGAAACAAAAAACGGAGGTCTTACTTCGTATGTTAAAACCATAATCAAACGTATCCGATTTCATACATAAACAAAAAAATAGTTGTATACACATAATGGGGGCCCAAATCTAATGCTTTATCCCGCTTGGTTCAGGAACGGCCCTGGATATATAGATCAATACAGTTGCATTGAACAGTAACAAATCTCAACAGATCATGCATGCATGATATTATGACACTTTTTCTTATTCTTTGTTGTCAATCAAGTGATTCGTGAAAAAACAAACACATACAAACTTAATCGGTCATGTATATTTTTTTCTGCAAGTTCCTTTTTTGAGTTTCTCGTGACACTACTACTCTCTTTCAATTATTACTACACAAGAACAACGAATAAATAAAGGGAATAATGAATCTTATGTTGGTAATTAAATTAGATAGATTATTTGTCGTGTAAAAAAAATGTTACATTTTATTAAATATAACGAAAACTGATCTTTCGATATAAAGATGTCGAATCGAATGGGAGAGGTTTCTGCCAGAGAGCTTCGTCCGTATTATGTTCATTGTCGTCGCTACATGACAAAACTCTTTTTTTTTCCAGTAACAAACAGTAAACACAAGTTGCCTTTTAATTCAATAAAATAGTTGAAAAGAAAATATTCAAGAAGACAAGATCTTAGCAAGATCCATGTACTATATGCATTTGCCCCTGACTTCACTTTTAAATTACAGATTCGACTTCATTTTTTCAACAAAAAGAGAAAATTAAAAATATAATTCGTTAAAAAAGCAAAAAAAATTGAGAAGTACAAAAGGCCACACGTGTGCGGTCTGATCTAATACACATGACGGTGAGAAGGATATTGCTTCAGCTTGTATTTAATTTTTAATTTAAATCAGTGCCATGTTTTTCTTCTTATTTGATTAATTAGGTAGATAATCAATCATATGATGTTATAATCATACTTCTTTGAATTTCAGAAACTTATGTTGAAATAATCGTTAAATGTAATAATTATTTCATTTGTTTTGGCGAAAATGTCTTCCTTTCCTCTACGGTCTATTTAATAATTTAACAAAAGTCATGATATCCACATATTGTTAATTTCATAAGTACTTTAACAATCTTAAAAAAACATAGCTATTTGCTGTTTACTGATACACATACTTATATAGATGTACTAAAAGTTGATGAAAAAGACATAATTAATAGCGCGAATATTTTTCATATAGGAGAAGTAAACTGTAATAAGTTCACATCCAACAAAAAAAGTGGTTCGAATAATAATACAATATGGACGTTCTTGTATTACTATATGGTCTAAATCCCGCATTATTGGATCCATCAAACATTCGACTTAATATTTGAAAATAGTTGTTGGCTAGTTGACTCGTATTTCTTGTTTTCTTGTCTCCGTACTTAATTATGGTTTTATTGATTCATTACTTAAACGCAATATATATAAGTCAGTCGAAAAAAATGTCGTAGCCAAATACATCAAATTATTGGGTCACCTTGTACGAACTATCAATCATCCAGACACGTAATTATAACGGGAAACTTAAATATATATCTTGAATTCATTTTTTAATTGTGAACATCATAAATATCTATGGGGTAAGCTAATATATAGTACTACTATGGAACTTAAACTTCATATTTTAATACAAGTTTTGTATCATTAGTTTGGCCCACTGTAGACACATTTTTCAAATCAGGAATTAATCATCAAATGTTGGTACACTGAT